AGGGCCTGGTGTGACAACGGATCAGGCTGCTACATGTTCAGATCACCATCTGCAGAGCAGAAGCCTATGAAGCACTGCACTCGGCATCTCCAGCACCCAGATCCCAAAACATCGCAGTTAATGCTATGAGCCTGGACTCAGTCTGAGGACTGGTTGTATGTGCTGGGAAGGGCCCTTAGATTTCCAGTAAAAAAACAACACTCTTTTCCTGTTGGTGATAGGGACCGAGTTAAACCGATTTGGGCAATACGAAGTTTATCCATTTCCCACTGCCTTAGTTGCAAAACCAAGCATGAGACATCCTCATCATTAATGTCTCATTCCAGTTATTGCAGACATAGACCCATAGTAGAGCTGTTCATCAGCTCAACATTTCTTCTCACTCAGGCTTGTGTGGGAGAAGGAAGTTAACAAAACAGATAAGCTATCTTCTTGGAAGTGTTCTTGGCCACACTTTTAACTACAGAATTCTTGGGGGTTTCTTAAGAAAATGACCCATGTGGTCATTTTGCTTTTAATCATGGTTGGTTCCTGGTGGTAACTCTCAGATGCATCCATCGCCCTGTTTTTCTCTTCTCAGTTATGATTTAATCTCTAACCTTTGTACCTATTCTTCAAATCCAGGCCATGCTAGTAATAAGGAAAACTGGAAATATAAATTTGGTCTGGAAAGGCTTGTGCAAAGCAGATTGAGTTTTACGTTGTTTCCTGAGTAGGGGGAAAAGGGTCTTTACATTTCCATTTAAAAACAAATTCTTCCTCCCTGCCTTGACTCTATTCCTGTGGTTGTTGTACTGTAACCTAAGGTGAGCTAAGAAAGGGCTGAGTTTAGAGATTTGAGTCTTTAGCAGTTAGGTATTCCTGTTACTCAGTTTTATAGTCAATAGATGGTGCTCAAAAATAGAAAATCCCATACCAGCTGCTATTAGTACTAGCAAATCACCAAATATTTGCTTTAATTGGGTTAATTTAAAGTCGGGAAAAAAGAACAGAAGAGGGTGAAAGGCCTGTCACAACTTCTGATGGTACAGGCAATTTTGAGGTGCCTGCATTTGCAAGAACCCAGCTTGAGACCTCTTAAGGAAAAAAAAAAGCCTAACTTTCGAAGTGTGCACCCCAAAAGGCTCAGAAAACCAGATTCCCTGAAGATGGGTCAAGCAGGGCATCTGAGAGGAGGGGTACTGCCAAAAGAATCGCTACCCATGTTTGTAAACCACCTTCTTGTTTGTTTTGGAGAATATTATGATCTCTGATGCCAACCTAAAAAATGAAGTGCACTGCCAAATGTGGCTTATTTGGCTGCTGTAAACCCTTATAAGGCAGCTCTACCCTTACCCACTCCAGCTGTAACAGTTAGAAGGGGCTTGGATGCCTCTTTATAAAAGCTAACAAAGCCTTTCTGTGTGTTTGCCTGCTGTGTGGCTCCCCAAATCATGGCACTGCAGCCTGGCATTCCCAGTCACCTCTCATTAATAGCAAGCTCTGGCATGGCTGCTAATTCCCCTGAGGAGTGGAGGGGAGCCCACTTGATGCCCTTGTTCAAAGTGCTGGAGGCTTTGACTCCACACCTGGTAAATCAGCACAAAGAGGCCCAGGACGGGATCGTTCACTGAGTCCTGGTCAAAAGCTTAGTTTTAAGTACTACCTGGCTCCAAAGTTTTGCTGGAAATGGCGCTGTGCCTTTTCCCATGCTGAGACTTTGGTGGTTGAATGGAAGGATTCAGGATTAATTAATGGTAATTAAGGGACTGGGCTAAGACTCAGAAAATTTTGATTCCTGACTCTGCCACATCTCCTAGGCAAATCACTTACAAGAAGACATTGTTTCCCTCCACCACCTGAGCTCTCAAAGGGTGAAAAAGGATAACCCAGGGTGGCTGGCTGGGACCTTGGGAGGTTGTCCAGTCCCTGCCCCTGCTCCAAGGCTGGATGAAAGGCACCATGGTTGTTCCTGGTGCCTTCTCGAAAAGCCCAGCACTGGAGGTGCCGCAGTCTGCCTGGGCAGCCCTTGACTGATGTGGGGTCTCAGGTGAGAGGGGAAGGTTGGGGATAGACAGGATTTGTGTCACCCTTGCGGGCAACGTGGGTTTCTGCATCACCTTGTGGCCACGGCTGTGTGGTTGGGTAGACTCCCCTGCTGCGGGGTGGGGGGGCTCTGTCCACCCCTGCAGCGCCTCTGAGGCACCCTGCTCCTTGCCTGGTAAGGGCATGAGGAAGAGCGGAGGAGATACTTGTAGAAGCGATAAGCATGCAGGGCAGGGGGCTGTGCCACCCATCACATTGCAGGTGTAACCTCCATCACGCGGCTCATATCTTCACTTATTTGCAAATAGGAATAGTAATGCTTACATGCTGCCATTAGTGTTAGAAGAATATTTTTGTCTTACTAGCCCCTTCAAAGAGGGAAATATTTTGTCTGATATTATCTTTCAAAAGAAAGAGAATGTAGGGAGACTATCTTCTTTTATCAGTCTGAATGTGACAAAACCTGGAGCGTTCTCTCTGTGCTACCAGTATATATTTCCTGCCATTACAGAGAGCTGTCTGGGTAAAGGAGCGAACTGCAGAGATGCCTCAGACTGCAGCCTGCCATTTTTTAGCTGGTAATATACTATTAAGTCTATTTATGTAAAGATAGATTAGCTAGGATCACTGGAGTTGAAAATTCTATTTTCTCCTAATGAACTGGACATAGAAAGCTATCAAATCATATTAAATTATTTAGTAGGAAATCTAGCTTGTGTTCCCCTTCATCTCTGGAGATGCCTGAAATGTGAGGTCTAATCTGATTTTCAGACAGTATTTTCAAAACCAGTGGGCTTTTCATGTAGCCTTTGCTATGATCACTCAAAGTATTTCAAAATGTCTTTTTTTTTCCTCTTGCTCTTGTTTTGCTTTGCCAGTGGGTTCAGCTTCAGTCTTATGAGAAGCTACATACTGTTTCAGAAAAGTACCGACTACTGTTTGTGAAAATTAAAGTAAGCTTCAAGAAATTTCACTAAATGGGTCATGATTTTGGGACTATATGTATTAAGATACCTGAAACAGAATTTGTCATGAGATGAAAATGAGTAGGTCCTATTAGGAGTCTTTGTACTCCTTCTTTTCTCCATAATAGGCACGATTCCTTATGTAGAATTTAGCAAATTGGTCCTGGGACCAATCAGCTTGTCAGGTAGGTGGAGAATAATTATTTATAGTCCTACCTGGAGAAACTGGTCTGTCTCGTCATCTCTTTAACCGCTTAACCTCCCTCTCCTCTTTCCTAAGAATTTTCCAGCATGGAGTTGTTGTCTTCGAAGGGTCAAAGCAACATCAGTGATGTTGGTTGGCATGCAAAGTCTAAAGACAGTATGAGATTGAATGGAAGTGCAGTCGGAGGGGAACCTCCAAAAGACTCTTCTCTTTGTTGCTTTCAATTTGCAGCAAATTGCAAATTCTGAGCAAATATGTAAAGATGAGAGGAAACCACTTGAAATGCTTCCATCCATGGCTTTCCAGCTCATGGTCTCTATCAATGTTTGTTGTGCAATGCAAATGAAAAGAAAATAGATGAAACTGCCAAATCCCTCTTTTTTTTTTTTTAAATCTGTTTTTATTTTGTTTCTGCTTTTAAAGATAAGCCATGCTGATCTCAAGACACATGACCAAAGGGTCATCAGGTGGTTGCAAAAATTTGGAAAGGAATTTGAGGGGAAACTGCAAAATAAGGTTTGGTTTTAGTACAGCTCTATGGGAAAACATTGCATTTCAAGTTTCAGTAACCCTTTCCTATCCTCATGCACCTACTTTAGGGGTTTTGGGGTTTTTTTTTTGGTTGTTTCTTTTTCTTTTAAATTTAGCTTTACCAAACAGGTCAGACTGATACTGATTTGGTAAAAAGTTCTGAGGGCCATACTCGAAAATACTTTTGAAATTACCAGGCTTCACTCTTGTGTTAAATCATGCGCCATGCCTTACACCCCTCCAGCTACTAAAACAATCAAAAGCTCAGGCAGGTCAACAAATCCATCGACTGAGGTTACTCATTCATTTCACTGCAGTCCCCAAACCGGAACCAAACACACGCAATGTTTCACTGCAGGTCTCAGCTGGGACTCTGCTAACTTTCCCCTTTGGGAGCACTTTGAATCCGCGATCAGCACACATTCATCCATTTACCTTGATGCTCTTGAGATCGATTGCGGGTTCTTTGGGTTTAGCTGGTGCAGGTGCTGGCGCTGGTGCAGGTGCTGGTGCTGCGGCTGCCGCTGGTTTCTTTACATCCTTCTTTGGTGCCATTTTGTATTGCTTAAACTTGAAAGTAAAGGTGCCCCCCCAAAAAAACTTTTTTTTTTAAAAAAAAGAACAAACCTTAAAAGTGATTCCTGGGAGAGGAGCAGTGGTCAGAATGAGCTACAGCCTGTGCCCTGGAGGTGGACCCGATGTGCTAAACTCTATAAGGGCATATATATATTTCACTTAGTGCCTCGTTCAGTCCTGACACATGCAGCTGGATTGGACAGCTTGCTAATCAAGGGGGATGTCATTCCAGCTCGAGCTATAAATGGAATATAAGAGTTCAGGGCTTCATAAGATCAAGGGACTTCGGTGGCTTTTTTCCCGCTCTTTAAAAACCCCAACCACCTCCCCTGTATTTTTTTTTTAATGCGTGCAAAGGAGAGGGAAATATGACAAACCCAGTTTCAGATCTGCTGTTGACATTTGGGCATGGATTGAACAGTCCTTTTTCTCATCAGAATTTCAGTTCTGCTTAAGTAATAAATCTTTCTTTCCTTCCCTCCCCTTTTCTCCCATGCCTGTGTAGTGTTCCAGGAGGATTCGGTTTCAAGTAGGAATTTTGACTTTTATGGCTGGAAAGATCATCAATTTCCAACCTCATTTGCCTCTCTTCCCCACAGCCCCTCACTCCTCTGCTTCCTTCTTTTACAAGGAAGTGTTGATCAAGCAAAGGCTCTGGGTGTTTAAAAATAAAGCAGACAAATATGGAAAACACTGCAGTACCTTCAACCAAGGCGCCTCTCCCAGACCCTGAGTGTCTTTCAGCTGTTCTTACTATTCCTTTCTATCATGTTAAGACTGTGTTGAAAATTGAAAATTGCTTCCTTTAATCTTTTCCTTTGATCTTCTTTTTCCTCTCCTAGGGATAAGCTGTGCCCTGATAGAATGGAGATCAGCTGGATGTTATGTTTTCCTACACAAAAGGTTTCCTTTTGTAATGTGTTTATGATTGGAAACTAGCCATCAGGCAAAGGAGGCACTTCTGTTTTCACCTTGTTTGCAGGCCCATCCTGTGTCTCTTGTTTATCTTTCCAGCCCTCAGTCTCCTGATGGACCTCCCTGCTCCTCATGCTCTCCAGGAGACACAACTTTCAGGAGAAGATGGGTTTTCTGTTTTCAGTAGACTTTTTCCAGCACTGCAAAACAGCTTCTAACTCTTTCAAACCTGATGGTTCCCCCGGGTCCATATGATTGAGGTTTTCTGCAGAAAAATCCAGGACTGCTGATTGTCCCTCCCTCGTCCAGCAATCTCTCTCCGATTTACTCTCCAGACTCCTGAGGTTCTGTGCTAGTAAGTGCAAGGCTTTTGATGGGGGCCCTTATTTCTGTCTCATGAACTATACTGTGGAGTGTTTTGTAATTAGAAATTTAGAGTCTGAAGGCCTGGACAGACACTTTGCATCCAAAGTTTGGCAGGGTATCCAATCACTTGCATTTTAGATTAATTTGTTTTAAGGAAGGTAAACTTACAAAAATGCACACCAAAAAAAGGGATGGAGAGTGGCTAAAAGTGTATTTTTATGTAAGAAAACCTGTGCTCAGAGCTCTTCTTTGCTACAGCCCATGACCTTGAGGAAGAGACTTTTGGGAAGTTGAGTCATCTCTTTTGAATCAATAGACCTATACTGATGCATACAATTTGAAGCCTTGGCTCAGCCTGTGCTTTAGAGAACACAGACCAGGAGAGATTTTATTTCTTTTTTCTGCCTTTAGTTTTGTGAATGCTTTGGGACAAAGAGCCTGTGATTTATGAGCTCTGCTGGCTGCCTTCAAGGTGCTTGATGGAGGGATCCCTACTCTGCTGGTGTGCCTGGATAGGCCATGGCATGGCCTCTCCTGCACCACTGCAGGTTAGCAGGAGCCTGTGGGCTGTCATCCCCGAGGGGCCTAATGAGGGCATCTCCAGTGATGCTGATGTTTTACATTGCGCAAACCAAACTTTAGCAAAATCCACCGTCAGAAATGGATCCTGGAGGTATAATTTGGGTGGAAATAGTCTAAAATAATTTTTATACACCTCTACACCTATGAGAACTTTAAGTAATTGCAAGAAAGAACCAGTGATGATCTAATCATTTCTACAGTCACCTGAGGTTTGCAATGAAATAAGCCTGAAAGCCACCATCAAATATATTTTAAAAGGAAGACAGGCTTTCAAAAAGGAAGCATGAACTTAGTGCTGGCTGCGCACAGTGTGGCCTGTCTAAGAATGCAGATGCGCCTGGACATGCTTCATGCTGCCAGAAAAGGAGGTTTTGTGAAGGGCTGCCACAAAATAATTGTGTATTGATCAGGTGAGAAGATAAACAGGTGCAAAGGAGGAGGAGGATGGAAGGTCCTTATTTCAGTTGCTGGGTTAAGGATTTGGATCCAGTCAGTTTTCTGGGCTTGGGACAGGACACCATGGGATTATCTGCCTGAAGCTTAGATGTGTCCCAAGACATCTCTGGGAGTGCGTCAGGTCTGTCCCTAGGGAGCAAAGTCGTCCCAGGTGGTGCAGAGGAGATGTGTCCCTGTGTTTTTGCACGGGAGCAGCAGCTTCATGCAAGCAGGAATACTAGAGCAAACCCCCAGCCTCTCCCTTGTGCTTGCTGGGACTTGCCGAGGTCTGCTTCTAAGGGAAAACAGCAGCAGCTGGGGATGCGAATTATCACTGGCATCTGCCTCATCGGGTGCATAGCTCCTGGGGAGTGTATGGATGCTTCTCTCCTGCAGGAGAATCCATGTTGAGGGAAGGCATAATGAATGATGACGGAGCTTCAGATTTCACAAGGCCCCAGAAAATCCAGTAGTGAGAAAGCTGTTGGTTGGAAACCATGCCCTGTTAGTCCTGCTACCTCACTGAAACAGGGGTCAGCTTGCTTGGGGCTTGCCTGGTTTTTACAAGCGGTTTAATTGATGAGGATGCTGTTCTGGCCAACACAAAACTTTTATGCATTTGGGCTGCATTTAGTTGAATTAATATAAAGGAAGTGTGTGTTTTCCATCTGGAGCATTGACATAATTCATTCTGACACTTCTGAAGTGGAATATGTTCCTTTTTGCAGGCTAAAGTCACATAGAGGTGGCATTGATTGCAGCACCAGAATGGAAGTGGGAGTTCCTGTGCTGGGCTGCACTCGCTGTGCAATTACTCTGAAGACTCTGCCTTTCTAGTCCAGTTTTAACAGGATGGTTCTGTCTCAGGGTTTCCTATAGCCCAGGGAGTCAGGCCCTCCTCCAGGAGGAGGGAGACGATGGTTTAAATCCATGCAGTGAAGTAGGAGACTAGATCTCCCATATTTCAGGGGATTGTGCAAGCCATGGAGTTGTTGGATGAAAGGGTGAGCGCTGCTGCTTCTGCTGTTTCACAGTGACCTCCCTCTGATACTTTTGCCTTTTGCTATCTAAAGTGCCTGAAAATGCAATTAACTTCCCATTTTGCCAATAACTTAAAAACAAGGCACTTGGTTTTTCATTATCCACATAGGAACTTTATTTTCCTTTTACACTTTTGATACATCCACCAAGCCACACATGCTATAATGACTGCCCAAGAGACACTGAGACTAGTCACAGTGTATCTGTAGTGTCACGCAGGGGTCAGAAGGTAAAGCATGCTTCTTCCAGGGTAAGTTTGCTCAGAAGAGCTTAGGCCAGTGGTTTCCTTCTGGGTGCTTTGCTCTGCTCAAGATAGCCAGGGCAGCCAGAGGGCTGGTTTAGGAGGCCACAGAGGAAGAGATCCTTCTTGGGCAAGTTCATGCTAATTTATATGCTACTACTCTATGACCAAAAAGGCCATTGCGAGTTTAGTCCATCCCTGAGTGCCTGCTTCAAATGTGGTTTCCTTGCTTTGTTTTGTGAAATTGTTGGCGAGTTCATCACAGGACACCAGATCAAGCACTAGGGGAAGTGTTGTTTGTCACTCAGAAGGCTCTGGTGGGAGTTTGCTTTCAGGCAAGGTGTGTAACACTGAGAATACAGACAGCGTTTACAAATACTTAAGGACAGTCAACCTATTCCAATCTCTTCTTGGAGCCTTTCTCCTGTCCCATGCACACTTATCTTCTATCATTTCAGCTGTCTGACATGTTCTCTCTTTCCTGTGATCAGCTCCTATCTGACACCTGTTGCCGTTAAATATTTGCCATGTTCCTCTTCTGAAGGTTGGGTGGCTGCAATGTCAGCAGGAAAAATTGCAAGTTTACGTGTACCATTTGGCAAGCAAGGAGCTTTGAGAAAGATTGCAATGGTTTGGAGCTGTGCCCTGGTACAACCACCTACTTTATTCAGCCCATAAGTGGGAAGTGATCCCGTTATCCAAAGTTACAAGAAGTACAGGGAAGTTCATGGAGAAGCCTTCTGAACACAAACAAGGGAGGTTCAGTGAAATTCAAAACTAATACGTGGGAATGATGTTTCTTCCAACGCCGGTTAGATTGTGAAACTTGTTGCTGGGAGACTATTTGAGGCCAAGAACCTAATAAGATGCAGGAAGGAACTGGGCATTTAGGCAGTTATCAAGAATATCAGAGTTACTATAATTCAAAACAAATTTGGAAGGAATATATAATCCATTTCACTGTGCTTAAGCAGTTCTTGAACTGATAAAGACTGGGTGCATTTTTCCACACCAAGATGCTGCAGAGGTTCTTGTGCTCTCTCTTAAACATGTGGTTTTGGCCACAAAAGGGATTACTGCCTCAGCGGGACTGCTTGTCTGGTTTGATTCTTGCACGTTTCACCACAGGCTTAAAGTAACAAGCCAGGGATCCGCTGCCAGCAAACTCTCTCAAGATCTCATCTTCAGGCTGTAATGCTGACTGTGCAACAGGGTGCCTAATTAATCTACTAATGATTTGGCTTTGTCAGTGCTCACAACGTGCAAAGCACTTTCAGCACAGAAAAGCAAAGCCATTTGCTGTCCAAGATGCTCGCAGCTGCAGGACACCCTAATAAGCTGTGGAAGCTTGTGAAGAAGAGAGTCAAGCCCAATAAATGGCCAGGTCAGCATGTTTCAGGGGTCTTGGTCCAACGAGGGTGCCCTGTCCTTGAGAAGGTGGTCTGGGAGCAGGGCACAGCACGAGAGGAGACCTGGAGGTGACTGAACAGGAATGTCACCAGCAGACAGTCAGGGCTGCCACCATGGGATTTGCAGGTGGTGGGCAATGATGGATGAATGCTGGAGACAGCATTATATAAAGGCACAAAGGTTGGATTATGTGCACAAATGAAGGGCTCTGTTGGCTTGAGGGAGGTGGTGGGTGTGTTTTGGAGGGAGGATTCACCTCTTGGCTCCTTCAAGTGCTGTGTAAGGTGTTGGTAGCCTGAATGCAGCCAGGGGCACGCAGCAGTCACGGGGCTGTAGCGTAGGCTGAAGTCAAACCATGCTGAAGGGGCAGGCAAAGGAATGAGTATCTGAAGAAGGGGAAAGAAGGCACCAACTGGTGCACCATATATAGCCTACGGCTGACTTAGCACTTGTGCTGCATTGCCCTCCAGCTCAAGGTTTTCTAATTCTGTCCCAGACGATGTCAGTGTCCCCCAGCAACTGGCAGTGAGACATACAAGGCGTTCCTCTGAGAGCCCGTGAGCATCTCTGTCACCCCCAGGAGGGCCGACAAGGGGGAGAGCAGCTTCCTGAAGGTGTGTGTGCTTCTCAGCTCTTGCTGGATGACTGGGGAGCTGCCTTCAACTCAAGTTCGGGCAGCTCACCTTCCCAATGCCATTGTTCCCTGAGGAAGAAACAGTGTCACCCAAGTGCTCGTTGCAGTTTGCTTTCTACCGTCCTGTAAAGCTTTTGATCATTTTTTTGGCGCCTTAGTTTCTTCGGCATGAGCATCAGTTTATAGATCACTGAGGAACCAGGCTCTGAAATGCAAGTGCCTGGCTAAATGTAATGAAAATATGCACGAGCAAGGCTGTGCCTTGCTCCCGTTGCCCAGCTCCTTTGGCAAGGGCTGCAGTTGGGGCAGAATGTGCATATCAAATCCCACCAGGCGGGACTCTTTACCAAGGAAAGCACTAGCTGACGGGCCCGAAGGGTTAACCCAAAGGGTTAAACATAAAGATTAGGCACAACATAAGAAGTTAATCTCACATGCTCTCTCACACTACATGGGATAAAACCCCATTGGTGCTGCTTTGGGCAATTGGGATTCCTGCAGCTTCAGGGTCCCACAGCCTGTCCGTGAGCTGCAGAGATTCGCTGCCTTTCCCTTCCTCTCTTTTCCCTGGAGCATGCAGCAGAGGAGTTAAATTACTGCCCGTTTAAAATGAACTATGTCTTTCTCAGGTCCCATTTTAATCTGCTAGGAGATGGAGTGACTTCAGACTTGGAAAGGGCATTAAAGGATAGCTAAGTATATGGCACGGAGTCCCCACATACCTGCATTGCCTGGAAGGTTTCATTGTGACTTATGGGGCATCAACCTCTTTCCTTTCACTTTTTTCTTCCCTCTCATTTTTGACATAAAGTACTCCAGAAGGTCTTGAGTCAGCCCAGGATCTAAAGGCCAGACTGGCTGGTGGGATAACTCACCAGGCTTAATGTGATGTGGGTTAAGTTTTGCTCAATTCTGTTAGGGATGGTCTGGGTTTGAAATTTCTCAAAACTCAAAGATAGTATCTGTTTTTAGGAAATCTGGCGCTGTCACAATTTAGACCTCTTTTTCTCTTCAGCCATCAGTAACACTTCTTAATGACCAGAGGTATGGATAGCCTTCAAGACCCGAAGCTTGGAGATGTGACCATCATTCTCTGTGATTGTACGTTCTCTGTCCTTGTCATTGAAATCCTGTCTCTGCCAAGCATGCAGTCTGCATTTGCTTAAATATTGCTAATTGCCCAGACACTCTGTAATGTGTTCGTTACACCAGAACACCCTGTTTTCTAACTGACTGCATGAGTCTTGCCGTTGTGTTAGAATTTAAGTGGTATGTAGCTCAGTCATATGCAAACCTTGAGACAACCCAGCAAGAACGAAGCTGTAGGAACTAAAATTTTTCAGCTATTTCCATGTCTAGCAGTAAGTACTTTGGATTTATGGAACCTATGTAGGTTTCAGATAACACTTGTGCATTTTGAATCATATCCATGAAGATGATATTCTTCGGGGAGAGGGCTATAATTACAATATCATATGATCAATCATATTGTACATATCTCAGAAAACTGTTTTAAGAATCTAAGTAGCACTGTCAAGGCTTATTAAGCCCTGATAGAGATCCACACAAATATCTAGAATATAATCTGTACCGTGGTTATCTGAGTGGACACAAATGAGCATAAAGCATTTGATGAGCTCCTCCTTTCTCATGAATTACTATGAGTGTTTCTGAGCATCCTGTGTAAAAAGTGTCTCTACGTAGAGAATTGACATGGAAAGATGGAGCTGATGTTTTTCTTTGGAGGTTTGGGGATTTGAAGCTATCGTGTTTGGTGGCAGAGTGTTCCCTGTGGCACACCAGCTGTAGCATCCCTCTATAATTGACATCGCGCCTTTGCTCCAGCCTCCCAGCCATCATGGTGCTCAGCTCGATGTTGTCTATGGACTTGAGTTCTTCCATAGCATTAACAGGTGCTTTCTGATGGCACTGTGTCCTCTTACCTCAGCAGGATTTTCATTCCCAGTGCCCGGCCCATGGCTGGAGAGGTGTCCTCCAACCAGCAGGCAAAGGAGGCTGCAGGCAGGGCCTGGCAGGGTTTCCTCACACTTCCCTAGCCAGTCAGGGGTAAAGAGCCTCCTTTTAGAAATGTCACGAGAAGATGATGTGGGTCCCTTAATGCTTTTAGTGGGAGAGGGGAGACGCAGCAACCAGTTGTGCTGCAGTCCAAGGGGACAGAGCACACAGTGAGCTGCCAGGTGCTTCTTACAGGAGGCAGGAAGGTCTCACCACTGCCAGCGATACACTGGATAAATTGGCCAAGCTGTTTAAAACTAGCTGTGATGGAGCTTGGCCTTTTGTGTTGTGCTTGTAACACCTCAGTGTTCCCTCTGCGTGTGAAAACAAACCTCGTTAAATGTCCTGGTTTTGGCAGGGATAGAGTTAATTTCCTTCCTAGTAGCTGGTACAATGCTGTGTTTTGGATTTAGGATGAGAACAAAGTTGATAACGCACCGACATTAAAGCACTGCAAAATCCTCCCATTTGAAGCTGCTTGTGGGTGCAAGCCTGGTTTTTGGGGAGCTGTGATGTATACACATATAACGTCTCTCCTCCAGGATCTGTCAAGTAGCTATGCTGGCTTTCTTTAAATAGCCTGCTGCTGCTGCACCCCTTATTTAGCTGTAGGGAAGCAAGTGACACGGTGATGCTCAACAGTGTCATTTTGCTTCTCGTGTGACCTATGAGATCAGAGGTTGTTAGCAGGAGATATACAGTGACTGTCACGGAAGGTGCTGCTGGATCCAGGACCTGGAAATCCTGTGGGATTGGGCGAGATGTTGGAACACAAGGGCTGAAGGACCCCCTGGCGGGGACTCTCTGGCCGTAGGGAGTGACTGAGCACCTTAAACACCCTATGAAAGCTTTGTGTGCCCGGTGTTTGGCAGCCAGTGCAAGCTGCCTCTGCCTCCACCTGCAGCTCTTTTAACTATTACGTTTAAAGTTGCTACTTTGTGTAAGATGCATGTAATCAGGACTTTGGAGGTCCACTTACAGAGTGCGATAAGAGCAAGGCTTCAATTTCAGCCATTTCTGCTTGAATAGCCAGCCCTGAGGGTTTTTCTCCTGCTTGTTAAACTTCTGTCAAAGTCGGTTGCTTTGCAATATGAGATGCCTTCAGAGCTGCCAGCAAGAGGCTGGTGACACACTTTATGAAGACTGTTACCCCCAAAGGTAGTTCAGAAATGCCTGTTATTTTTATTAAATACTTTTGTCCCAAACTCATCTCTCCCAAGCAACTGTTAAGATGACAGAACTGCAACAGTTGGCTGTGGGCTGCTGTGTGTGTACGTGCAGGTGTGACTTTTAACCCTTTTTGCTTATAAGGTTATTTCTACCTTTCTCCTTGAGAAATATTGGATCATAGAAGTGGGAACAGCAACTGCAGTTGGACTCTAAGTGCCAAAGCTGATTTGGATGAATGTTTGTAGCAAGGACAGTTTAAATGACAGTGGTAAGTGCAGTGGAAGAAGTCTTCACTTCTGTAGTTTTGGGGGCTCTGAAATAGGTGGGAGATTGGATCCTGAAAGGTGGTGCTGCCATGCAAGAGTTGCCTGACACAAACTCCAACCTCATGACTTCTTTAAATTAGTTGTGCCACCCTTTTTGTTTGGCAATTGTCACATTTGAAATTTTTTTACCCATTCATTTTGGCAAATGAATTTCATTTTCTGGGTTTGTCAAAGATGGGTAAACGTAACTATTCACAACTTAAAATCTGGACAGTCTTGATTAACAAGTAGACCACATAGTATTTTTATTTCCTGCCTGGTTTGTCTAACTCTCAGAATGTGATGCTGGTAGAAAACTTTTGCAATAACAAGTTCATCATTAGTTTTAAGCAAATATTTTGAAAAACTTTTGTAAAGTAAATAGATTTGGTGAAGACTTTTGCCAAAGAATATAAGACATTTCCACAAAATGGAAGCAATTTAGAAATTCAAGTGCATATTTTGTAGTATTTTTTTTCTGTACTCGTACAACAGCGTTATCCATTATGGTATTTAGTGGTTTTTACAAAATTCAGACACGCTTTTCATCTCTCATGTAGAAATGAAACACTAGTTTCTGGTATTTACCTGCTATTTCAGCAATAGTCTGTGGCACCCGTACTGTCCCAAGAGAGCAGAACTCCAGTCGTGTTTTGCAATTAGCGTGATTAAAATGAAATGAAGTTGGCTTCATCACAAAAGAGCTTCCTCCGCCTTTGCAATCTCAAATGCCTTGTTGTAGCATTAGCCTCCTTAGGAGTATAATAAGACAATCCCTGGCAGGCGTCGTGCTATGGATGTGGGATCCACGTAGCCATGTTGTCTCCAGGTGTCTGTTGCTGTGGAGCATTTCTGCCTTGCGGGTACTGGCGAATGTTTCATTTTGGCTCCTCTTTATCAGTGGTGTGTTTTATGGCTGATTCCCTGTGGGGCAAGTGGAGTTGGTTTTGTTTCCTGGTAGATGTCTAAAGTAAACAATTTAGCTGAATGTTTGAATACTTTTAACTAGCAATAACATGAAACTGTATGTGCTGCAGTGAACACAAGCCAGTGCTTTTCCTTCAGAAACTGTTGTGAAATCATTTCATGTGTGTGTTTTGATTTGTCCTTGTGAATGTTACATACAGATAATGATTGATGAAGATGTTGTATTAATTTTTCTCTTATTGTGCTTAAGTGAATTGGCAGGGGCAAAGGAGATTGCTTAGAATTAAATTATAAGCTTTTGGGACTTAGCATGTGTATAGAAGCTATATAAAAAGATACGATCTCCTAGTTTCAACACTGCTGATGCAGTTGAATCAGTGAATACACCCTGCAATGAGTGTACAGGTTTCTTGTTATGATAAAGTCATATTGAGATAATTGAGGGATCTGAGAATCAAGACATTTGGAAATCTGTCTGTGGCTATGGGTGGAACCTTCACCTTGTTGGATGTGTCTGCAGAGGGGTGGGAAGTGGTGTAATGTTAGCAACCTCCTGCCAGTGCCTCCCTTCTCCCTCTTCCCAAGTTGGATGTCAGTTTAGCACAGCTTTTATACGATAGCTTGGAGTGGGGGGCTGCTGTACATTTAATAATGCCATAGTTACCAGCCTGTGAGGTTTGAGGCTGGAATGTAATTTTTGTGCCCGCTGCTTTTGGTGTTGGGAGTATCTCTCTCCCATTTGTGCTTTTTATGATCTGAAATCAATTGAGACTCTCAGTCTCTTTTAAAATTAGATGAGGCTTGTGCTCCTTTAGAGCATCACTGTAGAGATGTCCCCAAGGAAGCTTCCAGTGTGGATGCAGTCCCTGCCATCTTCTCTTTGCATCGCTTTTTTTTTTTTCTTCTTACAATTCCCTTTTGTTGCCATTATGGAGGCAAAGTTTTTATCTCCCCTTCTGAAAGGTTCAACTTCCACAAGGATTTTGTATAGCATTTTTATCATTTTAACAGTATCTAAAGAAGAACCGTAACCAAGTCTCTCAGTCTGCAGTGGGCTTTAACATTTAATACAAGCATGCAATCCTGGGTAGCACATTTGCTTCTCTACCTGAGGGTGGTGAATGCTGAAAAGCACCTTGCCCCCACTCCCAACACATCTAATTTAGCAGATCTGCTTTGTTCACAGTAGAGTTCAAAACTGACATTCCCCAATTCCTAATTAACTTGACAAGTGTGTTTTGTCCCACAGTCCTGTCCCTTCAAAGGGAAGGAGAAACCCAAAGCCACAGCACAGTTGTGAACATTCGCTCTTGTGGTCTGTCTGCTCGCTGGGAGGAGAGGAGCCGTGTGTTTGCTGCAGCTGCAGCTCAGGATTAGACAGCTGAAGAAAACAGGCCAGCAGAAAGTGGCAGTGGCAGCTCATGGGATAAGATGACATCTGCCAGGAGGAGTGTGTTGTTGGCAGCTTGAGCGGCTGAGGGCTGCTCTTCCCCTCTGTGCGCTCTGATGCAGACCCGCTTTCCCTGTCATCCTTTGCTCGGTAATGAGGATGGTAATTGTTACTTATTGGCCAAGGATTTCAGTAGTCACAAGTAATTTTTCAGAGACCAATTCTGTGTTTTCAGAAAGTGATGAACACTCTCCTCTTTAAAACAAACGAACAAAAGCCCCGTGGCCTCCTTTCATGGATTTTTAAACTGAACATCCTCCAAATCAAGGTGTCTCAACTCACTTCACTTTGAAAATCTGTTACTACTGATGGGTTTTTAAAGAGAAAGTGATAGCTAAGTCTGCTTCTAATGATGTCTTTGGAGCCACAAGAATGTGTAGTACACTGTACATTGTATGTTGCATGATTAGGGTTCAAATTAAGGAGAAAAAGAACCTAATGGGAAACAGTGGTATGAGGAGGATAAAAGCGAAGACATAAATACAGCCAGGCAGTCTGGCAAGTGGGTTCAAGGCATAGGGAGAGCAAGGAAAATATGTACAGACAGGATTTTGGTACCCAGCACATTGAAGTGGTATCACCTGCAAATGCTAGGATGCTGAATTGATGGGAACAGTTTAACAGCAGTCTGGCATGCCTTTCCTTTCTGAGCTCTGGGGGCAGGACAAGTCTGCGCAGTGGCCACATTGTGCAGCCTGCATTCCCATCCTAGTGCTGTCATGAGACAAACAGAAAGTGCTCAACCCCTCTGGAAAGCAAAGATATGGGGAACCTTATTACTTCCAGTTCACTTTAAGGAGATCACAATTCAGTGTGGTTTCCAGCTCTCCATTTCAGGGTTAGAAGAGACTGCTAGTATGCCTTTATTTTTTTTTTTTTAATGCATTTGTTCCCACCTTCTCTATGTTCCTGAAGGATGGAGCTTTTCACCTTCCCACGGCCATTACAAACCGCCAGTTGGATTTTTTTCTCTGTGTTGTCTTTTCTCCCAGCCCTAAATTTGTGCCCATGCAAGGCTCCCAGCCCTGTGTCATATCTAAAGGTTACGTCCAGTGATGTAGCTGGAGCTGAAGAAAATGTGCGCAACAGCTAGCCAGGCTCTTGGGGTGCCTGGCCTGCTGTAGAATAGATGGCCAAGAGATCCCTGCTGGTTTTAATAGCTCTCTGGCAGTCTTAGCCAGCAAATGTGGTACACTTCATTATAACTCAGTTTCCATGCAGGCAAATGACCTTTGCAGTGGTTAAGTAAAGCACCTCAAACTTTCATGGTCCTTTTAAAATTTCCTTGCTGGTGGGCTCTGTACTTCTTGGGGTTCATACGGGGTGGGCTTGCATGTGGGCAAAGGACAGGGTTGTGATCCACATAGTAACAAATAATACTCCATCCCAGTCTAGTTCCCGGTGACGTACCTTCACAGAGCAGCAATGCTGGCTGGGAGCAGCAGGGTTGTCTGCCCAGCTTTCCCCGCCTCTAGCTGAGCTGGCAGGCCTGGCCAGAGGCAGGGAGCAGGGAGTTTTGCAATAGCAAAAGGGCTGGCAGCTATCTGAGATGTGGGATGCTGCCTTCTTCCTGACGGCTATGAATCCAGCCAAGGTTCATCTCATTGCCATGGTAGTAGCTCCTGACTGAAGTATAGGGAATAATCAGTGGCAGAGTATGATGATAACGGGTTAATCAGAGGAGAAATGATTCAGATGTTCCCTTGTCTGGGAAATGAAGCAATTGTGTAAAGACTATTTTTCCCCAAATAGTCTCTTAGAAGACTTGGAAGGCATAATGTTGGAGACACAGTATTAATTTTGCATTGCTTTCAGTTCTATATTTGTACATTTGGTTTTTTAGGTACTGATTTCTTCCTCAGCAGCTTTTGAGCATTTTGAAAGTGCTGTAAAAATGTTACTATTTGCAATATGGCAAATGCAAAAGAAGCATCTTCAGATTTCAAGCTCTAACTGGGGTCCCTGTGTGATATTCCTCACCAAGAAATAATAAGAAACCCTGCCTCAGAGATGCTGGAAAATGAGGGGGAAAAAAAAAAAGGAAGAAAACCAAAGCAGAGAGCAGCCAAATGACTTGTTGGAGGAGCCCCAGCTTGGCAGTTGCAGACAGAGGAAGGAGATTTGTCTGCTGAGTCCTAGTCCAAGGCAAGGCATGTCCACTGGAAAGAGCTGTCTCACCTGAGCAGCTTTCAAACATCACCTTCAGCCCCTGTTCTATAAGTTTCGTTCCCTTTGATGAAATTATGATGTTTAGAGAATTGTCGGGGCATCACGTATAGACTTCGTAGGCTTGAGTCCAACCCTTTGATGGTTCCAAGTGGATGGAGGCTTTCTCCTAGTTCCTAGTGGAGCTCCCAAAGCTGCCTTCAAAAGTGGTGTGGAGGCACCATTCTGAGCTGATTGGACAGAGGAGACAGTTGTTGGAGCACACCTGGAAAACCAGTCTGTCTGGTGTAGATGCTGCATGTCCTGCTCAGGTCAGAAGTGGTGGCAGGATGGCATGTGAAACTTCCATCATCTGAAATTATTAAAGGGCTCAGCTCTGTCTTCATGGGCACGGCATGAACCTTTTACAGTAGAAAATGTGTTGAGGCTAGTAATGCAGTGGGGTTTTCTTTTTCCAAATGGTGGAATTCACTGGAGAATTTATCCCTCATTTTATCTCAGGAAGACCCAAGCTGCCTGTGGATCATTAGAGTTTTGTTCAGGTATATCTAATCCACTTGCTAACCAAATAGTTTGGCTGCAACTTCTGTACTCCAAGTAATATGATTCACTCTTCTTGGCCTGGTTTCCTAAGGTGAGGCTTAAGGATTTTCCTTGCTTGTCCATATTTCTATATTCTCTCAGTGACATTTCTGACTCTTTTGGACTATTTCAGCGAAATTAGAAAGAAGGACAGAAGTGTAAGAAGGTGATCACCTTCCTATAGGTTTTGTGAAAACTGCAGCTGGGAAGAGTCCCAGATCAGGCCCTCTTATTATAAAGCACATATATTTAAATCTTAAAGTGAGAAAAGCAAGGAAAGGATGTCAGGCCATTTTTCTCTTGTTACTGAGAATGTCTCTTTACTTCCCCCTCACTGATATCATCTGTCACACATCAGGGGTATAGGAAGTAAGTACTAATATCATTGCTCCTCGGTTTTACAAGGCAGTAATTCAACACTTGAATGCATAGACTATTCAGTGGAAGACTAAGTGGTTATTGGAGTGAATGAATGAGATTATTGCTGATGAAAACCAGGGAATTGGAACTATTGGTATTGTGAAGATAACAAAAGAGAGGGGGAAAGATAATGGAAGATGATTGTCCTGTTTTAAAAAGGGTCTGTGTGCTCCCAAAACCCAAACATTTGTACTCATTTGGGATCCCTACATCAGGCTCTGTCTTTTCTGTATGCTTGTAAAGCATGGCATCAGCCCTCCTGGAATGGGTATTTCCCAGCTTTGGGTGGTATAAACACCTCAGAGCTTATCCTCCGTGGTGATGAACCACCCCGGGTTCCCAAACACTTCCACTGGCAACTTCCCACTTCTGGTCCAGAGCCCAGCTTCTTGCACATGAATTTGTCAAGCTTGTAAATACTAAGCACTGCAGTCCGGTGGGGTGGCGAGCCCTATTCTGGGAACTGCTGTGCTGTATCTTGGTGTGGCTTTCACCTAACTGCAACCTGCCGTAGCTTTCATCTAACTGCAACGTGCTGTAGCTGCCACTCAGGTGGGGTTTGTCCTCTTTTCCCTTGGTGATAGATGAGCTATGAATTCCTACCAAGGGTATCCCTGGATGTAGGATATGCGCTCATTGAAAGTTTGCATTTTATGGTGACCCTCTTAGACTTAGTCTCTTAGACTTTGTCTTCTGAGATCTGTCTCTCTTATTTTTCAGCCACTTGTAAAAATCTGATCGATCCCTTCCTATCCACTACTGGGAGCATCAGTATGGAGGAGGAGCACCTCAGTGACAGAGCAAAGTGGTACACAACAGCTCCAAAAAGCTTCTGGGAATAGGGGAAGCCCCTGCAACGAAGGGCTGCTTTGGGCCACCCCTGCAAGGAAGCTGTTTGACACTACTGTGGTCTCCCCTTCACCAGTGAGGGGTATCCTTAAAGAGGGGTAGCTATAATAAAACTCAGCCAAATGGTGGAAATATGATCGACTCCTCAGTCTGATTAGAGCCAACAGCCGTTATGTGGAACATTTGCTCCTGGCCTGTTTGCAGCTGCATACTACAGTGTAACTATTTATGGGCTCGGCTCCAGTGGGATTTATGGATAGCAAAGTACTACCAGTGGATTCGATTACTGCCTGAGATCACTGCAAATGCTGCAGCAAACTGCAATGGCCGCAAAATGAGCTTTTCGCAAGGGCTGCCTGACACGTGTCCTGCCAGCGAGAAATTCCCCAGCCATGAGGAGATGGAGCTAAATGGCTCCCCATAGCCGTGCTCTTTTTTTCCCCCTCCTTAAGGCTTTCAAGTTGTTTTTAGTGTCGCCTCTACGTCTTCTCCATTGCTGGCTGTCTTCCTTGCTGCAGAGGAAGCAGAGCAGTGTACTGTCATCCACAGGCTTCAAGGGTGGCCATTTATTATAGGATCTATTGTACTTTTTGGCCAAATTTGCCGTCTTTCACTCTCTGGGGGAGGCAGAGGGGATGCACGGCATCTGAGGGTGAAGTGGCTGCAAGGCGTCCTGTGCAGCACAGAGGGTGGCAAAAACAAATGGCTCTTGTGCCTCTGGAGTTGTGGACTACATGAAAAAGAACTTAATCCTCTTCTCCCCTTTCTGCTGGCAACTCTTAGCATCTAGATTGCCCAAATATTGGGGATGAGGTTGTTCTTGGGTGGTCCTGGGCTGTGCTCAAACACTGCCTCCTCATGAGCAGCAGGGAGGGCGCAGGTTTCCTTGTGCTAAGCTGGTTTTGCCTTCCTCCCACACTGCGTTTTGCCTTCCCCTTGCTGTGATGCTGTAAACTGGATTCGTGAAATGACTAAAAAAATGAGTAAAAGCCACCCCCCTTCTTCCCCAAAAGGGGCAGCATAGAGACAGAAACAAGTGGGTGAGAGTGAGTTGGGGAGAGAGGTAAAACAGAAGTGTCTTCAGGCAGCTCTGCTGCAGGAGGAAACAGCAGGGACCACCATGCTGAGGGTGAAAGCTGGCTCGAGCTACACTTGGGAATACAAAGCTGTGTGGGTGAGGCAATAACAGGCTCTGTCTCGAATCAGCAGCTGTATTGAGAGCTGTTTTGTTCTGCTTTTCCCTAACAGCTTTTGAGGGAGTGGTTTTTATTCTGAAACAGCAAAAATCCTGCAGGATGCGAAGATGTGATGGTCCTCTTTAGGCCTTGGAGCAGCTGTGCATTGCAGCCACCCAGGCAGGCAGAGATCTTTGTGCTCATCCTCTGTTTTCAAAGGTCAGTTCTGCCAGTGGGGTGGTACCAGGATGGTGGGCAATGCTCATCCCCAGACACCAAACACCACGTTCGCGGTAGTGCCAGCACGGCCATTGGCACAGTGAGCCTCATCTCCTCTCTGGGCTTGCAAGGCATCACCCAAGCCAAGCAACATCACTTTTGCGGTAGCAGCATCCCTGATCCTCGTTCCAGAGCTGGGAAGGAGCTCTCTGAAGCCTAGTTGGTATGAAGTGATATGCTGTAATCTTGGCAAAGACAGGGGTACAGGAGGGATGTAAATATGTCTGTGTTAAAGGGAGAGTGGTGGTGTATCTGTTTCCAGCTCATGGTAAGGGGATGTTCGATGAGGGACATCCTGAATGATGGAAGAGCTTGCTTGCTCTTTCCAAAAGAAAAAAAAAAGCCAAACAATGAAAAACTACCTGTCAGATCTTGCTGGGATCCTTTAATTAAATATACCAAGACTTGCTGTTAAGGTCAGGCACAAACAGGCTTATTAGCTAAGCCTGAAATTTGACCAACTGTTCAAAGTTAATTATACTCCCCCTGACTCCTACGTTCAGCTGTTGCAAAAGGGCTGGGTCCGAAAGTGCTCTAGATCAGCTTAACTCCATGGGCTTTACACAGCTCCAGATCTGGCCTGCATAAACGATTTTTCCAGAAAATTACTGCCACTGAGAAAAGCAAAGGTAAGGAGGAAAAACAAAACCAAAAAGGCAAGCAGAAGGTATAAACTGTGTTGATTCAGGGAGAACAGTCAATGAAGCAACCCTCTCAGTTTCAACTATAATCTGGAAGTCCATGCTTATCCCTTTTGCCAAGGTTAATGAACTGTGCTTGGTAAGTTGAAAGGCCCAGCTATAAAGATGCTGCAGTATCCATCCACACCAGCTATGATACTGAATTTGGGGTTTGAGTTTATGTTGGCCTGAGCTTAGTTATCTGCTTCCTGCTGGGTTGAAAGTGAGTTTGGATGCTAATACTGCACACCCACTGTGCACTGGGATCCCCCTGAAAACCTGAAAAAACCCACTGGCCTGAAACCCCCCACTCCATGGGGCCCAGTTCCCTGCCTTGTGCTCCTCCATCCCTACGCATGGCCGAAGCAAGGGGTTGCCTAAAAACTCCCAAGACTGCCTGTCAGCAGGGTCAGGGAGACCCAAGGCTGCTCTGGCCCTGTTGGCTTCAGGCCATGTCCCAACGGAGACAGCACTGCAAACCCATCTGCAAGAGCCATTTCAGCCCTACCTAGGTTTGGTTTTTCCCTTGACATCAAAGTATCTTTAGGACGAGAGGAAATGGCCTCAAGTTGCGCCAGGGGAGGTTTAGATTGGATGTAAGGAAAAATTTCTTTACTGAAAGAGTGGTGAAACATTGGAACAGGCTGCCCAGGGAAGTGGTTGAGTCCCCATCCCTGGAGGTATTTAAAAGACGAGTAGATGAGGCGCTTAGGGACATGGTTTAGTGGGCATGGTAGTTGTTGGGTCGACGGTTGGACTCGATGATCTTAGAGGTCTTTTCCAACCTCTATGATTCTATGATTCTAATGATTCTATATCTCAGTGGTGAGCCTTGGCACCCTTACAAATGTTCCCATCTGGGTTTTCTTGATGCTCTTGCCCTTTGGGATGTCCCCAAACCCTATGGGGCTCTAGGGAAGGCACATTCAGTGCAGGAGACTTCACAGACACAAGGGTAGCCTGTGGGGATGGGGGTTGTTGGCTCTCTAGTTCCCGCGAGTTGGGAGCAGTTGGTGGCAGAACTTGTGCAACGTCTGTAGAACTGACGTAGGGAGGCACATAGAACATTTTCACCCAGCATATGGAGCATTTCCTTGAAAACCTGCCCATGTGGCTGAAGAGCATGAGGAGTTGACCTCCCCTGCAGGGGCTTGTGGAAGAGCTTGGGTGGCTTCAGGCAGGATTGGGAAAAGATGTGCTTTTTCGTTTTGGTTTTTTTTTTGAGGGTGCATGACTGACTTAGAGACCATGCACTTCTGAAGGGCTTCCACATTTCTCACATCTCTGTCATCTCACACAGTATACAAATACAACCTCATCCGTGTGGGCTTTTTGGTTTGAGCAACTTTCCCAGGGCTACCCAAGAGCTGAATCCCAGCTCTTGGTACGATTTAGCAGCTGAGGGTGCAGGCATGTGCGTGGCAACCGCAGGGTGGTTGCTGATGTCAGGCTGCATTGCCACCTGCTGGGGGCACACAGCCCCTTGCGGAGGCCACCTCCACCCACACTTCAGCAAGGGGTGTCCCCAAGCCAGCTCCCCTGCCAGGGGCAAGCCTAGCTGAGCTCCAGCATGTTTCCTCAGGTGCTTATTTTGTGCAGATCTGCTGCCTCCTGCTCTGTTGGATTTTGTCTTCAGACACTTCATAACGTTGCGAGTTGTAACTCTTGGGGTTTAGATTTCCTGGTCTGGGTACTGGCCTTCAGTTCAGGTTTCTTTCCTGGATGCAGCTAAAGGGACGTGGGGGACACTTTGGCCAAAGGGCTCAGCCATTCTGGGCAGAAAGAGGTGAGGAACCTGTGTTGTTCTTCCCAGTGTAAAAAAAACAATTAAAAAAAAAAAAAATCTCTTGCAACAACTCAACTGTATGTGCTGGGACCTTGCTGGCCTGAAGCAGGACTTATGGTCTCACTGGGCCCAACCACATTCTGTTGGGTGTTACCGTCAGAAAACCCCACTCAAATTTGGCCAAGGTATTACACTGTGGTGGAAAAACATGAACAAAATAAGAGGGGAAGGGGGAAAGGCAAGATAGTGATGCAAAGGGATGGGAGTCAGATGAGATGCTGGAGAGAAGCGAGGTCTGGCTGGGTAACTCATGTAAATGAAGCCCTTCACCAGCAGCTTTGTGCCCAACAGCTGCTTCTCCCATAGCTGCTTTTGTGGTATCGCATGTGGGACATGCAACCTTAATTGTCCACCTCACCCAGCTCTGTGCCTGTCAGATGGGAACAATGTTCCTGTTGGGGGCAGGAGGCCGAGCTGGGGTTTGTGGAGGCTGAGTTGCTCTTCTGCTGTGCTTTTTCCCTATCAACACAAGGAGGGCGTCTGCCACTCCACAGCCAGCAGCCAACTCTGAAGTGGTTTCAGAGTGAAACCAGTGTGCATTAAATGACTGCAGTGGTAGTTCGTAAACTGATTTATCAAATGAGGTGTGTATCTGACTGCTAATGGTGTAGGGGCTGAGGACCACTCCGGGGGAGGGGTTGCTAGTATTAGCCACAGATTTAACATCAGCGCTGACTGCAGTTTGTGGGCATTTGAAAAGTTAATATGCAGGAATGGGAAATGAAGTAAGTAAATTGGGCAGAGGCAGCAATAACATATCTGTCCCCTTGCACTGTCCCTATGTCACCTCTTTCATAGCTGAGGCTGCTGTCAGCTCTTGAGAGCTGAAACCACAGCAGGCTCTTGGGGGAGATGCACACCTACAAATGATGCTTGGTTAACAGTATTTGGGACATTTTTCATCTTACTGATCACACTGGTATACACAGGAGGTGAACACAAACTGAGCCAGATGGCAATGCATTCAAAATATGTTTTTTACCTATTACTTGGGAGTATAAGGCACTTGATTTTTTTTTTTTTTTTTAAACAGAACACCACCATGGACAAACATAACCATCGCCAAGAACTAAGTGTTAAATGTCTACTCTTCTGATAAAGTTGCTCTCAGGTACACTGTTGGAGCAGGAGCAGTTGTGTGTTTTCAGGCT